ATTAGCACCACGATTATTTACTTGTGCCTCAATACGAGAATACACCAGAGATACATTTCTACTAGCTCATTAGTCGTTATAAGCATCCCGGCACAACAATTCTCTGCTAAACACCCGTAGCAACATGTGACGTCATCTAACCGAAATCGAGGCTATTTTGCTTGGCAACCAATTTAGGCGTTGGCGCCAGATTACCAGATTTAGCGGATTTCATTCGACATTTCTTAGTAACTAGCAGTGATATTGGGACAAACTAATACGCGTTTGGCTATAAGGTAATGTACTTATTAACTACACAAGTGCCAGTTACTCTAGTATTCGTTAAAATTGGCATAATCAATGGACCTATTATTCCTTTAAGTGACAGTGAAGCTCAAAAACAAGGTTGAGAATCGTTAGGTAGCAAAGTGAGAAGACAGTTGCATTAGTACCTTAAGGGACACGAGCGAGAGAGACACGCAAATAGTTTGACATACAGAGCGAAGTGTAGAAAAAGGGTTTTAAGGCGAGAAACGCGAGCGATTTTGAAAGAAGATCAACAGACGGAGAAATAAAGAGAGCGACAGAGCGACAAACAAGAGGATAGACGGAAACAGAGGTGCCACGGAGGTAGGAATTCAGCGTTTGCGCAGTGACATAAAGATCAGATGTTGCAACGCTGTGACGGGAAGAGAGACTAGTAAGTCCAGTAAGCATCCCTAAAGCGGCTTACACAGTCACGTAATGTAATAAAAAATTAGTAGTTAGTAGTAGAAGTTGTAGCAGCAGCAGCAGTACAGCAGCAGTATCAGCAGCAGCACAGCAGCAGCCGCGCAGTAGCAGCAGCAGGCAGCAATAGCAGCAGTAACAGCAGCAGCAGAGCAGGTCAGCAGCAGCAGCTGACAGTAGTAGTAGCAGCAGCAGCAGCAGTAGTAGTAGCAGCAGCAGCAGTAGAGACAGCAGCAGCAGAGTAGCAGCAGCAGCAGTAGTAGTACCAGCAGCAGCAGCAGCAGTAGTATGTAACAGCAGCAGCAGCAGTAGTTACAGCAGCAGCAGTGTACTGTTAGCCGCAGCAGAATCACTGATGTCGTTATAATTAACACGACCAAGCAGTGAAATAACCGAATTGAAATCCCAGTGGAACGAAATTTCATCATACAACTCAGTCGGCAGGAAATTAAGTGCGTATGATTTCAATAATTTTAATCTCGACAGCATGGAACATACAAACGCACGCACACTCACACGTACACGCACGCACACACACACACACACACACACACACACACACACACACACACACACACACACCTGCCGCGCCCGTGCACGCGCAGGCATACACACACGCACACGCACAGGCACGCTCGCCCGCTCGCACGCACATCGCTTCACGCGCACGCAGCACGCCGCAACGCGCACGCACACGCACAGCACGCACACGCACACGCACACGCACACATACTGGCGCACGCTCACACATCTACTACACCATCATGGTCGATCGGTGCTATTAATTAGCGATTTATTGACATTTGTTATTGATTAATTTATAACATTGGCTACGATTCATCATTTTTTGATTTGCATTCAGATATCAATATAGTGTTACTTTTCGGCGCCGATTGCAAAGACGATGACGATGCTGACGTCACTGATTGTTGCTGCCATGCTGTGCAGCGTTAACGGCAGACGAGGTGAGTGTGACGTCACACACATAAACACACACACGCACGCGCACGCACACGCAACACGCACACGCGCAGCGAACACGCACACGCACACGCACACGCACAACGCACACGCACACGCACACGCACACACACGCGCGCGCACACGCACACGCACACACACACACAAACACGCGCGCGCCGCGTGCGCGTTTCACAATGCAATAACATACTCTCGACCGTGCTTCATTCACAGACTATTTTTCTGCTCTTATTTCCTCCTTTAGATAACACGCGGAAATTTGCGAAATTCTCAACGTTTCAGCATAAAAGCGTGAATATTTTGTTGTTGGGGGGGGGGGGGCAGTGGTCGCAACCTTCATCTTCACCCGCACCGTCCCACCAAACGCACATAGGCAGTACTCGGTTCGCACGTTTCCATGACAACCGCTTCCGCATCTTCCCGTCTCGTGACATCACGTTCTGTCGTCAGCAGCCGGGTTTCTTGAGCGTCACTACACGGCCGTTGTGATGACGATGTAAGATAGACTATGACGTAATTTTTAATGATGTCATGCGCATACAGCGCACGCCTGGCGGAGACCATAGCATCTGCGGTATGACTATGGGTATGACGGACAACCTGCACGACTACAGCACGGTATTATTATTATTTATTATTAATATTGTTATTAATTATTATTATTATTATTATTATTGTTCATATATTACAGCAGGGTGTTATTATTATTATTGTCATTATTACTATTATTGTTATTGTTATTATATATTATTATTATTATTATTATTATTATCATTATTACTATTTAAATTATTCTTAAACTTGATATCTTAACAAACTGTTCTTTAATTGTTATTTGCTAGTCGGTCGTTCAAATAGCATGATAGTTGCATTCGATGGCGTCATCGTTAGGCAAAATAAAGTTGTTCATAATACAATTGCATTAATTTTACAAGATGACGAGCGATTTCAACGTCATTTTCTGCTCTCAGTAAAACTTAAAAAGTTTTACATAACGCCCGTTATGTGATGTGAACTGTATGTGATGTAATGTGAAACCCACAGTTCTACGAGCGCGGCGTCGGGCGGGCTGTTTACACCAGCAGTATTTCTCTACGATTGCAGGGTTTTCTGGCGCAGAAGAATCGCTACGCGGCATCTGCTACATCAAAAGACTCGACCCGATCTTGGATAGCACTTACGAGAATTCGCGCGCAGACATCGCGCCTATGACGGTGAGTCATCCTCCCTGTAGGTGGCAGCAGCGTCGCTAGGCCGTGTCGTGAGCAATCGAGGAATTGAGTAGAGCGAGAGGGAAAACGGCCTTCCTTCCGTCAAAATCCTTAGCCTAACACTAACCCAACTGCTACCTAACTTATCCTAACCCTAACCCTAACCATTTTCCCTAGCTCTAACAGATCAATAACAATGCAAGAAAATATCCTCTTAATAATAATATTATTTTGAATTCTGATAATCACATTTTGTGTTGCGTACTTTACTGATATATGTTGTATGTATGGGCGTGTATGTGTTGTTAATGTTGTGGCGTATATTTCTATGTTTGATACATGCGGTTTTGATACATATGTGTTGATATACGTTGAACGTATGGCGTGTATTATATATTGATATCTGTTATATGCATGGCAGTTTTGTGTTGTTATATGTTGTATACATATTTTTGTTTGCATATTTTGTATATAAGTTGTGAATGTGTTAATGTGTTGTAAGTATATTTTGTAATTTTGTTGACATATGTTGTATGTATGTTGTGTATGTGTTAACATATGTTGTGTGTAGGTATGTTGTGTATGTGTTCATATGTGTTGACATGTGTTTGTGTGTATGTGGTGTCTGTGTTGATATGTGTTGTATGTATGTTGTCGTTTATCTATGTATGTCTAGCCTCGCAGACACACACACCACCTTTATGAACACAACTTGATCTGGATAAATTTCGGCATATGGCTACGCTCTGACACTGTACAGATGTGCTCATGAGAACATAGCTTGTCTAACGCCTACCCTTCCCCTTCATTCACCACCAGGAGGTATGAGCGCCCCCATTCCAGAGAATACATCGACATGGGGTACGACAGACGTTCCGTATCGACCTCTAGTACTTACGGATATCGCCCGGTGATGACATTGCTGAGTTATGTAAGGACATGCCCAGCTACTGGCTCTTCCTGTACCGAGGACCAACGACCAGGTAAGGTGGACGAGCGATGATGATGACGACGATGATGACGATGATGATGATGATGGTGATTAATGATGATGAATGATGATGATGATGGAGATAGTGATACGACGATGATTGATGATGACGATAGTGATAATGACGTCGATGATCACGATGATGATAGTGATAATGGTGGAGCTATTGACGGCGATGACAACGACAACGATAATGATGATGATGATGTCGATGATAGTGGTGATAATGACGACAACGATGACGACGACTATCATGATGATGTCGCTGATGGCGATGGAAACGATAATGATGTTGGTGGTGGAGGATGTGGGTAATTATTAGGGTGGTAAACTGGTAATGTAAAGGCAGGCCAGAAAGAGAAGGCGAGACCAAAATTCAACATGGCGGAGTTAATCAAACACGAGGCCAGGATGCTCCGCAATTAAATAGGTTAATTGCATATTAAATATTTTCAGCTAAAATCGATTATATATATATAGTTTAGGTACGTAAATTACGCTACATAAAAAATTCATTTGTCAGTATTCTTTCGAAATATTCTTTTAATGTTTTAAAACTGACGGCTATACCGTTGCGTACAACGACGGTGGCGCCACTACACGCGCATCCACTGACAAAGTTGCGCATCGAAACATTTGGCTGCAAGCTACAGACCGAGGTGTGTCTTGTCAAGAGCGTATAAATAAGGCCTTCTTTATACGCTCTTTGTCTATGTATTAATTTAAGACGAGGAGGATTGCAATATCGATACACAACTCTTAGTTTAATCCATGTGGACGAATTTGTCCTAAATAAAAGCGTTCGGTTAAATTGCAGTTAGGTATAAATATAATTTAGACTTTTCTAATTAGCGCTTCGTCTGTAACTTGCAAAATAAATGAAGAAAATGCGCAACTTCGTCAAGGTGTAGCAAATCGCGGGGTGTCTATCAGCGGTCAAAAATAACGATTTCGAAACTCACTGTTGTTTACGACAAATGTGAATGCGTGATTATAGAAATTAGTAGGTACCTACTATTATTCATGCACTTATTATCATAATACAGTCTAAAATTCTAGAGTATATCGCCATCTACACGTGCAATAACGAACCATTTCTACATCTACAGAAGCAACTGGTGTAAGAGCCAAAGAGAACTGCACGAATGACACAAGCTATCAATTGTAATGGGGAGAATGCATGCAACCGCCACGGATCACTGGCCTCCTTTGGCGTAAGATAAACTCGAACGAGACCATCTACCACATAGATGATTGACTTTACCCCTTAAAAATGTTCACTACCACTTGTCCGCCGTAAAGTATTTCTTCCATATTTGAGTCTTATCCTGACCCATTCAGCCTTAGACTAAGCCGCTGGACTGTTAACCGATCCCCGAATTCATATTCCCACAACTTATGACACGTGCCTTGAAATTCATTCTCTGGCATAATTTCATGCACCTGTCTCCCAAGAATTTAACTTGATCACTAACCTTCCAAATCTCTTGGATTGCTGTGGTGTGTGTGTGTGTGTGTGTTGGTGTGTGTGTGTGTGTGTGTGTGTGTGTGTGTGTGTGTGTGTGTGTGTGTGTGTGTGTGTGTGTGTGTGGGTGTGATTAAGGGCACATGGAGTGTCCGTGTTTATATATATGAATTCTCGTTGCAGTTTTACTAATGAGGGCAGGCTCGTAGACTCAAGGTCATCGAAACTCAATGCCACGACCCCGACGTCACATGTCATCTAACGGACATTGTTAACTGTCGCCGCCATGTTGGTTTAATATGTCACGTGCTCAGGCGATCACGTGACAGAGTGCGAATGAATTTCGAATTTTGGTTCGTAGTCGATTAGCATATAGTTGCGAATGACGTCACTCACGGATTACCGTGACGTCAGCTAATCAGCGTTGCACGCATTGATATTTGATTGCGTCACTAATTGCTGTTTATTATTGCGTCACAACCTAACCCACGTGAATACGGGATGGCGCCTGGTTTAACACTGGAATGCTGTTGTTAGAAGGATGTTATGATGATACGTTCAATTCCATATCCTAATAAGTTTTAACCTAAAGATATTAGAATAAGTTCGCCATATTCCGCTACAATAATCAATGAGTAAGTATACGATAATGTATTACCATAAATTCATGCAATAAATTGGCCGAAAAAATTACGGTATATATATATAATTATATATTGCATCATTGATAGATGAAATTTTGATCAAATCATTTCAATTGGATTCATTGAGGTTAAATCGTGAGATAGATAGTAATCTTTCAGATGCAATTTCATCAATGGATGGGTATGGTTGGGTGTAATAATAAAATAACGGTTACGTTAAATCGGATCCCTTGGTATTCGTTTATATCTTGTGCTGCTTCAACATTTCTCGTACGTCAAAGATATCTCTGATGCAACCAACAGAGATAAATTATGCCTTTTCCGCCATCTGTCGGTACATTAAAAGAAGTGAGCAGCCGGATACGATGACGTCATCTTATCGATAGTTAAACTGCTTTCTGCTTTCGCTGGCCGAATTTTTCCAGAACGTTTTTATGTCAGAACAATTCAAGTGGCCAACCGTGACTGCTCCGGCAATGTGATTGGTCAGCAAAGCTACGTGACACTTGGTTAGGGGTGGCGCGGTCGAAGTGGATCATTACATTCTCGTTAGTGTTTTTTGTTTCATAAAAAAATTCGTTTTTGCGACTTTTCGGGGAAATTCCGAGCGTTTAATGCTGACGACCAAAGCTCAGCGGGATGCTAGTAAACAAGGTGTCCGCAGCGTCTATGTAAATATATATATATATATATATATATATATATATGTCTTCGTTTCCTTAGTTAAACTATTCTTGTTTGTA